TCCGATGTGGGCCCACCCGACGCCTTCGGCTGGCCCTCAGCGGTGTCAAGAGACTTGGGCTTGCCTGCTCACTCCTTTGACCCTCTGGATACGCAGCATGTACAAATAAATTTTCATCTTCAAGATCATTTTTCCTTCCACGGACCCTTCCCTCTCAACAAAGCATTTCACTTGTTTTTTCAATTCGATTCGGTTTGGAACCGAACCCACAGGCAACAACATTCGGTTTGGTTTGGTTTTTTTGACTTCAGTTCAATTTTTTTTCGGTTTTCGATTCTCGAACTCACCTCTACTTCCAACACCACCACCGCCAATTTCCGATTTATGATTTTAATAAGACACATCGACCAAGTTCTTCTGAGTGGATGCTTATCACGTAATAATATTTTCTCTACATGTTACCTTTGTTGGATAAAACGGGGTCATTTCTTGTGGGTTAGAGTTAAGAGAAAGAAAAAAAGGATTCAAAACGAAGCAAACTTAGAGAAAAACAGGGGTAGGAAAACATGCATTGACCCCATTTAGAGTTGAGATAGTAGAGCAAGCATTTTTGGGCGTGGCCTACACTTTGCAAGTAAAGGTTGAGCTCTAGGCATGGTGAGACCAATCCCTTCACTCATGTCCACCATTTCCTCACCAATTCTCTCCCACTCAAAACACTGAATCAGTGATCCTAAAGCCAGCCCGACTATCCGAGTCGCTAAGCCTTCCCCGGGGCAGCCCTCCTCCCTGCCCCAAACGGCAACCAAACAAAACCATCTCTTTCCTCTTGTAGGTTATGGAACCTCTCTGGCTTGAATTGGTCAGGTTGTGCCCACAACTTTGGATTATGTTGTATGGCCCATATGTTCACCAACAACATTGTTCTACGTGGGACGTGAAAGCCCCCCACGGTGCAATCCTCTGATGACTCATGTGGGGCTAGCAATGGGCCTGTTGGGTACATTCGGAGGGTTTCGCTGATGATGCCTTGGAGATAGGGTAACTTGGGAAGGTCTGATTCCTCAAGTAGCCTGCAGCTTTGTCCAATGTGGTTATCAATTTCAGTCTGAGCTTTTGCAAGGGCTTCTGGGTTGTTGAGCAAAAGGGATAGAGCCCATTCCATGGTTCCAGATGAGGTGTCTGTCCCTGCTGTTAACATGACCTGTGGGTGCAATTGTGCAAAAAACCTTAAGCCATAAGGTTTATTTCATTTGTAAGAGTCAATTTACGTATAAGTAACTAGTTTGGTGGAGCGATCTAATATGGGGAAGGGCTTCTATGCAACTGAAATGCTATTGTTGTGATATGACAAGTTGATCACGCATGGGAATGAAAAAGTCATAAAAGATAGCAATGCGTTGTCATTTAATACTACATGCTAGTGGTATTGTTCATCACTTGTAAATAAAATGTTTTAGGTTCAATTCTCGTAAGTTACTGTTATCTCATTGTGAGGCTTAATCCAATCCCCACATTCTTAATGTAGATAATATCGTTTGTTTAAAAAAATAAAATAACAATGCATCATTAACTTAAAATACTGTATAATGACATTGACTTTATTACATAAAGAAAATAATTTTCATTTGAAATATATGTCTAGCTACGCGAAAAGTTGGACATTGACCTTAGTTTAATTCAAAAAATCCATGTTGCCAATGTTATATAATATTCACAGGTATCAAAATATGAAAGGTTTTTTTTTTTTTTTTTAATTCAAAATGATCATCTGTGATTAACATAATTCATTACTTTAATATTTGAGATTTAAAATTAATAGAAGTGATATCTGAGATTGTTAACCGTCAATCATTTTGGTCTTGATGTGAGAAATCTCAATTAAATTGATGGTATTTTGGTCAGGTCAACCCCTTTCCTTGAATTGATGATTTCTTCAATTTAACGGAGAATGACCAAAATGATTGATGATAAACAATTTTAAGGACCACTTCTATCGATTTTAATTTTTAGGATCAATGAGTTATGAGAATATCAGAGACAATTTTTACTAAAAAGCTAATATAAAATTATTTATGAGCAATGCCAAGTAGACAGACATATTAGACTAAATTTTCTATTATTATATTTCAGACATCCAGGTTGAACATCAGCCAAACAAACTAAAAGATTATCTTTTAGCAGAAAATTAATGCATCTGACTCTAAAATTTCTCATATTTTGGTCAAGAGACAGAGACTTACTTGCATGATGCCTCTTATGATCTCATCTGTATAATATTCAGGTTCAGTTTCTTGCAGGGAAAGCAAAACTTCCACCATTGTCTTCCTCCTCTGTTCAGAAACAGAGCCACTCTGCAATTTTCTATGTTCTTCAATCAAATCTTGCATGAATCCATCCCTTTTCTTCTGTAATATCACCAACTTCTTCTCAAGCCCTGTTACTCCCAAATACTTCAAAGCCGGCACGAAATCTCCGATATTCGTAGCCCCGCTCAGCTCAAAGGTCTCCTTCACAATTTGTTTAAATCGGTTCGCTTCCTCCAAATCCGCCATATGTTCTCCGTAATACCGCTTTCCGGCGATTATCCTTATCAGAACATTAAGTGTAAGCTCAAAAAACGTTGACTTCATCTCGAAAGTCTGAAATTCACGGCTGTTAGAACCTCGGAAAAGCAGGCAAATCAATGACCTAACTTCATCTGCACGGATGTCGTGAAACATCTGAAGGCGGTTGGAATGACAATAACTCGAGGGAGGTTATACGTCGTAGGTTTCGCCAGTGGGAACCGTAGGAGGCCCAGGTGAGGGAGGTGTAGTTGTATCCGAGGTGTTTTCCGGCGAGAAACTTGGGGCGGTTGGCGAAAGCGATGTCGTTCTTGGTTAAGCATTCCTCAGCCGCGGACGGTGAGGATACGAGGAGGACGGGGCGGGAGCCGAATCGGAGGTATGTGATTGGACCATATGTGTTGGAGAGTTTGGCAAGTGTTCTGTGTAGGGGTTTCTTGAATAGGTAGAGATGGCCTATGATGGGGAAACAAAGAGAAGGGCTTGGTGGGAGTTTTTTGTTCAATATTCGCAAGTAGTTCTTGAGGAAAAGAAAGATGATGAAGAGGAAAATGTAGTAGTAGAATGATGCTTCCATTGGATGTGTTTGATGTATGCAATGCAAGTGGTTTGTACTTCTTTATATAATATATGTATAAGCGTGCATATAATGCATGACATGACATTGTGATTAAATCGTAACTTTGTGAATGATATTAAAATATTTAAATTTAAGTTCAACGGTGCAAAATATAATTTACTTTAATTCGTTAATGAAAAATTAAATGTCACTTTATCTTGGATTTTAGTCAACTGATGAGCATTGATAAGATGCAAGAGAAGTATACAAAATTTAGCGATGCTATCGAACAAGACAGCTATGTTAAAATGACAATCTCAAGTTCTAGCAGTTGGCCACGATCGAGTCCGATGGACCCTGACATGATCCAACTTTCACAAAAAAACACAAACATCGTCTTCAATTCCAACGTCAGACGCATTCCCAAGGTCAGACTCAATGACTCAATAATTTGACATTGGAAAAGGACATGAGGAACCAGTCAAACGCACCCGAAATCAGATGAGACGCGTGTATCAACATACGAAATCTTACTCGAGCATTTCACATTTCGATACCAATCCGATGCACTCGACGGCTGAGCTCGACCACGAGACCTTGGAGCTTAGGTCATCTCCAATTGAAGTGGTTATGTTTAGCTTTCGTTTAGATTATAGCTCTGTAATAAATTATTTTTAAATGAACAGTATCAGATCATATTTATATATTATCTCCAATCGAAAATGATTATTTTTTAGCCCCTCAATAATTTATTATTTTAAGTTTGTTTTTTAACTTATTGGTTAATTGAATTAAACTACCATATTTCTGAATGAATAACTCTCATATTTCTTATCTTTTTGTAATCTTAATAATTTTTTGGAATGCTATGTTTGTTTTGCTTCAAAAAAAAAGAAAAAAGTTAATGTTTTCGGATGGAGTTTAAGAATGTGAAGAATTGAAATAAAATAAGGTAAGATATTATGGAAGGATGAAAATGATGTGAGAAATGGTGTTGAAATAACTTACGTATTTACATAAAAAGAATTAGATTGTTTTTTTTTTTTTTTTTTTTTTAAAATTTCATCCAAAAATAAAAAGAAATTCAAAAATCCAAGGCTAGCTAACATTTGCTAGCAAGTGAGTTGCTAACAACTTGGGCCCCTCAAATGGGTTGGTTGGCTTAAAAGTCCAGCTCGATGGCCAAAAGATTGGCCCAATGGGTCTCCTTTTCTTTTGGCTTAGACCTTTATTGGAGATGTTTTATGCTAATTTCAAGCTATAACACATCCTATAGCCCTATGACCTGATCCATTGGAGATAGCCTTAAGCTTCATACTGAGACCTCAATGCCTAAGCTTGAACCAAGACCTGGTGCTCGAGAACTAGTCGCTCGAGACACTAGCACCCAGACCCGAACATGAGACCTCGGTGCTCTGACCCAAAACCAGGTCATAACCCGGAGATCTTGGATACTCAATGCTCATTATTGAACTTAGAGATCTGATGCTCAAGATTTCAATAAATGATGCACGACTACACTACTTTTATAAAAAGAAATTAATCAACGAAATTGTTGGTTATATAAGTATTTCCATATTATATAATGCATCAATTTAGATATATTTGATGTAAGTATCCTACCGAACGACAAAAAAACAGAAGTGTTGACTTGAAGGTTCTATACAAAAGTGTTTGACTTGAAGGTTACAACTTACAAGTACAAGATTATCCCAAACCGAAATTAACTAACACCTAACATTCAAAAAACTTGCCATTCAAATTTTGCGCCAACCACTTTAAAAAACGGTTAGTTGAGCTATGGAAGAACGGGAACCAACGGAACTACCAAACGCAAAACTACTAGTCTTCTTCCCCCCAATCTCCCAATGGTTTCTCTCCTCCCTCCACCAGAACAATAATTTCCTCTCACACCTCTCACTTTCTCTCTCTACCTCCTTCTGCAACCTCCCCATCTTTCTTCGCAGCCATGTACCGTCCGGTGTGGGCCCACCCGACGCCTCCGGCGGGCTCTCAGCGGTGGCAGGAGACTTGGGCTCGCCTCCTCACTCCTTTGACCCTCTGGATATGTGGCATGTACACATAAATTGTTTCATTTTCAATACCAATTTTCCTTCCACAGACCCTTCCATCTCAACAAAGCATTTCACTTGTTTTTTTTTGGCAGTTTCGGTGAGTCTCCGATACGGGTACTATGGCGACCGTAGGATGGAGCTCGGGTCGAGCTCTTCGCGATTGATGAAGGCTAGTGCTGTGTTTGTCAAACATGTTGAAGTGAGAGATGTTGACAGGAAAGGGGTTTCTCTCTACGCTTTTTCTGAAGAGCCTAAATTGAACTACCAAACAAATTGGAGTGTGCACAATTACTTGATCATTCCATCGTATAATCGCAAGGTAGGAACTGAAAATTTACATTTTAAAATTAAATTAAATTATTTACTTATGGTTTTGGACTTTTTCCCACATTATGCATTTGCCCTCCAAATTATTGATTTGGATTTCCAGAGGGGTTGAAATTTTCTTTTCAGGGATTTTCCTTCTGGTTAAACAAGGGTTCAAGTTTGTCCATGAGATTGGAAGCTCATGCTACTACCTTAAATCAACTACAAGTTGCTATGCTTAAAGGTTAGTTCCAATTTGAAATCTGTTTTCTCGACCAATTTTGTTAATCAAATTTGTTCATCAAATAACACGTCAGTTCACGTTTTAGTATTTCAAATTTTATAAGCAAATAAGGTTCATGATGGACCCAATTTATTTATTTTCAGTTACAAAGTGAACTTTAAATAAATTGAAATTTTAATAAATTGAAAAACTGTCATGTCATTTAATAAACAAATTCAACGGAAACTGTCACGTCTTTGAAAAATATCGTCTTTGTTGTTTGCATCTTATTTAGGTTTTGGACTCATCTTAAAACAAATGTAACGCACGTTTTGACAGGGGAACAAAATATCGAAATATTGCAGCCGGAACAAACAAGTTCTCAGGACAGCCTCGCCTTCAATGAACCCAAAATCGGTAACCGATTCTCCGTTTTCAAAACTATTATTCCACAATTAGATTGCAGAAAAAAGAAGTGTTCTGAGGCCTAAAAAAATGCTCACGAAGTTTATTTGCAAAATGATCATCATATGGGCTTTTTGTTCAGGTAAAGAAGCCGAGTACAATATTGAGGAAGATGACAAGTATTACCTTGAATTCATAAGCACAAATCCTAATAGCGCAATTGTATCAGTGAATGTAAGCGTGTCATCAACGATGTATGATGTTACGAAAGCTAAGGACGTCTGTTCAACAACGAAGGGGTCCTGCCGTCTCAGCCTTGTATTCCCCAATACTCACTATGTCATACTAACCACACCTAACAATGTAAGGCCTGATTTCATAAATTGTCTGAAATTGTTACTAATTTTGTGCCAACATAAACAATGAAGTCATTGCAGGGAGATCTTGGTGACTGGTACATTGAGCTTTCGTTCGTGGCTCGTGTGGTAACCTACATTGCGATTTTAGGTACGAAATTAGAAATAGACCTCAGTTCTGTTGATCATTCAGTATCTTATATCAGCAATCTTGTAATTGTATCAACTATTGGTCTCATTTATGTCCAACTTCCAGGATTTATTGTGGTGGTTGTTTTTCTGATATTGAAATACCTTGGAGCCTGTGACGGTGATGATAGAACTTTAGTTGAAACAGCAGTGGAAGAAGTTAATGAGACTTACCCTATAGTGCCACAGAAGACGCTTCTTCGACAGACATATGGGACAAATGAAGAAGATGAAGATTCAGGAGCTTCTAGTAGCTCCTCGGAGGAATTATATGACGAGAAATTATGCGTAATTTGTTACGATGAGCAGCGCAACTCCTTCTTCGTTCCTTGTGGTCACTGTGCCACCTGCTATGACTGTGCTCAAAGGTACATACACCGCTATAGATACACCGCTCACTTTCATGTTCTTCTTTCACACATGTAATGTTTTTGTTTTCGAGATTTTTACCGAAATGCATCTTGCAGGATCATGGATGGGGAGAATAGGGTGTGTCCAATATGTAGAAGGCTCATCCACAAAGTGAGAAAATTGTTCAATCCCTGAAGCAAAGGTCTTGATTGGGAGATTTTGCGATTTAGTGTGACTGAGAAGATTTTATTTTTTGGGTGTGGAAAGAGAAGAGTTGTATACGTACAGAATGAGTGCCATTAAACTCTAACTTGTGCCCACAACCAATGCCTTATTGTTCAATATACCCCACAAAAAATTTCTTTTTCGAATCAAACTGCGCGGAAGAGAGCAATTTGGGTGCGGTTTATTCACCAGCAAACACTGGAGCATGGAGAAAAAGCTGTTATGTGAACTCTCTAATGGAGATTGCCTCATGTTTTTGAAAAATTTAATCATTTGCAGAGTTGTATACAATTCTTGTGTCTTCCTTGAGAAGAAAAGAAAATAAAACAAAGAGGGTGCACTAATGAAGATTAATTCTAGTTTCTATGAGGAATGTCTAGGCATCACGTGTTTGATATCTGTTTGGATGTAAAATTGGTGTACGGTACTGGAACATTGTCACCACGTGGTATAATGAAATCACTACAAGTGGATGATGGGTTTATGCCTTAGGTTAGTACAGTATGATCAACCAACATATTATAACATCAAATGATTAGTCAAAGATCCCTAAGATAATTATACTTGGAGTCCTTAACTTTACAAAATTGTCGGATTGTACCAAGCTCCTACTTGTGATTTTCAGCATCTCCATATGTATGTTATATGGATTGGCTACAAATTAGAATCTCAAGCGGCTGTCCTAGTTGGATAGCATCACCATTTGTACATTTCCCCTTGTATATTACTAATTAAAAAAGCCACACTGATTAGTACCAGATTATATGATCTTATATAAATTCTTATTATGCAACAAAACAACAACAACAATCAAGTCTTATTCTGCTTAATGGAGTCAATTGTATGAATCCTATAACGTCATTGCGCTCGGTTTTGTACTAAGTCTTTTTTTAGCTTCAAGTACTCCATATCTTTTCTTAAAATCTCTTTCCAATTCTCACTAGATCTTCCTCAACCCCTTTTGACCTAAGCCTCCGGCTCATAGTTGCATTCTAATTGGAGCATCTACAGGTCTTTGGTTCACGTGTCTAAACTACCTTAACCGCTTTTCTCTCATTTATCTTCGATTGAAGTCACTCCCACTTTACCTTGGATATCCTTGTCCTTATCATATCATTTCTCATGTGCCCACACATCTAGCGAATGTAACTATGCCCACGTCTGCTGATCTTATATAAATTAACATTAGTGTTGCAGACATATTCAACATACCAATGGAAACCTCATTCTACCACTACATTTTGCTCTTCACCATTCTCCTTTTCTTCAAAAACTATTTGCAGAAATATAACAAAAGACTCCCACCAAGCCCTGGTTTCTCTTTGCCCATCATAGGCCATCTCCACCTCATCAAGAAACCCCTCCACAGAACACTTGCCAAACTATCCGAAAAATACGGTCCAGTTTTGTACATCCAATTCGGATCGCGCCCCGTCATTGTTGTGTCCTCTCCCTCCGCTGCCGAGGAATGCTTCACCAAAAACGACGTCAATTTTGCCAACCGTCCCGGGCTGCTAGCTGGAAAACACCTTGGATACAACTACACCACCCTTGTTTGGGCCTCTTACGGCACTCACTGGCGCAACATGAGACGCATAGCTTCGATTGAACTGTTGTCATCTCACCGCCTTCAGATGTTTTATGGCATCCGTGTGGAAGAAGTCAGGTCACTGCTTAGCCGGCTTTTTCGAGGTTCCAAACCTGGTGAGTTTCGGATTTTAGACATGAAGTCAACGTTTTTTGAGCTGACTCTTAATGTTTTGATGAGGATGATTGCTGGAAAGCGGTATTATGGGGAACAAACGGAGAAATCAGAGGAAGCTCAGTTGTTCAAAGAGATGGTCATAGAGACATTCGAGTTGAGTGGGGCTACTAATATTGGAGATTTCATGCCGGTTCTGAAGCATTTGGGAGTAACGGTGCTTGAGAAGAAGTTGGTGTTATTGCAAAAGAAGAAGGATGAGTTCATGCAAAATTTGATTGAAGAACATAGAAAATTGCAGAGGGGCTCTGTTTCTGAACAGAGGAGCAAGTCCATGGTGGATGTCTTGCTTGATCTGCAAGAAACTGATCCCGAGTATTATAGCAATGAAATCGTAAGAGGCATGATACAAGTAAGCACTCTCAACCGAATTATACGAAATACTCCAATAAAAAACCATCCAAAAAAGAAAAAAAACGTTTCTAGCCTCAATAGTTTTCACAAGGTTTCGCTTTTGTCCTAGTAATTTGATTGCATCAAAACAAATTTATTCCCTGCAGTTCGAAATTGTTTCAATGCAGAGGATATCAGTCAACTTCTGTTTAATTTCACACGAGATAATTAAATAGAAGTTGACGCATGTCCTTTGACCAAATACATGGATGAAAGAGAAACTATGTGAAAACTAAAGACATTAAAAACGTGTGTTTGATAGATTGTTCTAGCACAAGAACATCCGTCAGCTTCTCTGTTGATTTCTTGTACAAAATCCATCAAACCTAGCCTCCTATGTGCCATGTGCCACGAATACGGCATTCTCATAGACATTAACAAAAGATGATGGATTTCCTTGGACTGGAAGAATTTGCAAACTACACATCAAATTCGACACAATTGAAAATATAGGGATGAAAGTAGAACTTTGTGAAAACAACATGACAATGCTTGGTTTTAACCGTTTAAGGCCTTTTGCACACATAGGTGATGCTATCGGCAGGGACAGAAACCTCAGCTGGAACAATGGAATGCGCTCTGTCACTCTTGCTCAACCACCCTGAAACCCTAGCCAAAGCCCAAACTGAAATCGACATCCAAATCGGAGAAAGCAGGCTGCTTGAGGAGTCAGACTTTCCCAAGCTTCCCTACCTCCAGGGCATCATCAACGAGACCCTGCGGATGTACCCAGCAGACCCATTGTTGGTGCCCCATGAATCATCGGAGGAGTGCACTGTGGGAGGGTTCCGTGTTCCACGTGGCGCAATGCTGTTGGTGAACACGTGGGCTATACAGAACAATCCCAAGCTGTGGGCACAGCCTAGACAATTTAAGCCAGAGAGGTTTTTGAACGTCTGGGAAAGAGATGGTTTTGTGTTGTTGCCATTCGGGACCGGCAGGAGGGGGTGTCCTGGGGAAGGACTAGCAATAAGGATGGTTGGGCTGGCATTAGGGTCTTTGCTTCAGTGTTTTGAGTGGGAAAGAACTGGTGAGGAAATGGTGGACATGAGTGAAGGGACTGGCCTCACCATGCCTAAAGCTCACCCTTTACTTGCAAAGTGTAGGCCACGCCCAACAATGTTTGCCCTGCTATCTCAACTTCAATAAGACTACCCACCCTCCTCATCTATTCACCGACTAAGAGCATCTCCAAGAGTCTCTTTAAAACCTCTCGAGTCTCGGCTAGCTATTTTAATAACAAGGCCGGTTAATCAAATGTTGCTCCAAGAGACAGATAAGGAGCATTCATTCATTTTGTAAGATTGCATGTTTAGAAGGGTGGTGGTGTGGTAGGTCAATCTGATCTGATAGAGGGTGCGGTGAGTAGAGGGCGCTGAGAGTGTGGTTGCAGGTTGGGCTTAGGCACAAATAGGGATGGTGCGGAGCTGATGACTTTCCCCGTGTTTCATAGCTCTATGGAGGAGGAGAATAAGGTGTGTCCAATATGTACAATGCTGATATACAGAGTGGGAAAAATTGTTCTACTCCTGAAGCAAAGGTGTTGATTGGTGAAATTTTTTTATCAGTGCGATTGACAGGATTTTATTTTTTGGATGTGGAAAGAGAATAGTTGTATCCATAGAGAATGAGTGCCATTGAACTCTAGTTTGTGCCCAAATCCACTGCCTAACTGTTCCATAGGCCACACAAAATTTCCCTTCGGATCAATCTGCGCGGAAGAGAGCGATTTGGGTGTGGTTTATATATCAGCAAACACTAGTGAACTCCAATGGAGATTGCTCATGTTCTTGAAAAATGATCATTTGAAGAGTTATATATAAATTCTTCTGTGTCTTTATTATAACCATCTCATGCTTAGTATATGATTGAAAATTATTGTATGATCCTGAAATATTGTCCAGACATCGTATAATCAAACAACTGGTCATAATATGGGGTGGATGACGGGTTTATGCTTTACGGCATAGATTCATCAACCAATCAAATTGTGCCAAGCTTCTACTACTCGGGATTTTCAGCATCTCCATATATATATATATATATATGTGTGTGTGTGTGTGTGTGTGATGTATGGAGGCCAACTAGCGTGACGACGGCAATGAGTGTGAGTGCGACGACGAACACCCTCTCACCGTGACGACGGATCATGGTATCTTCGGCAATTCAGGCGTCCATCTGAGTTGAAGAGGGAGACTGAGAGAGAGAGATTGGCCAGGTTTTGAACATTTCTTAATTTACAAGTACTTCTAGGAAATAGTATTCCCGGTATTTCACTCGGAAACCGTTTGATTTCTTAATCTTACCAAATCACTGTTGATTTTTTCAAACTTGCCCAGTACTTTGAGACAGTTGGATGCAACGGATTGGCTTGGACATAACTAATATCAAAGATTGACTTGGATTGCCGTGGTTAGGATTATCTTTGCCCCTATCCAGTTTTAAATTTGTTCCCCTCTAACTTTTCAAGTTTATGTTCTTTATTTGCATTTTTCATTGCACCCTCCCCCGTTATTGTCACCATCAATATTTCACTACTATTGACATAATCATTGTCAATACTATTACCACATTCCAATCACCATTAATGCTATCAACATCATTATCATCTCAACCATCATCTCTACCACCACTACCACCATTACTACCAACACGATTTCAAAATTTATATTATAAAAATCATTATTGGATTACATCACTGAAAACATTCTCAAATCATAAAAATAAAATTCTATTTGTCGCTTTTGTTTTTCAAAACAATCTTCAAAAATTGTTATGTAAAACATTATGAGACCGCCCCTCATATTGTATAATCTGGAAACAAAGATTACACTTATGTTTACGCATTTTTCGGTATTGTCTTAATTAGTAGTTGTCTAACAAGATACTATATGCTTCTTCTGTCTTAGTTTTGCTGAGGTGAATCTAAGCGATGATGCTTTAGCTTCAACAGGCATTAGTAAATGTAGGAGTATTGTATTAAACGTAGGTTTTCAGTTGTCAACTGATGATCAGTTGCTTTTATGATTAGCCACACTTAATTGGTTAATTAGAAGCCTTAGATGATCAAATTAATTTACCACTAATTCGCGACATGTTGTTTGTGTCATTTGATATAACCAGCAGTCTTTGCTCTCATTTGCCACAAAGAACATGAGACCCATGCTTCCGAACGTCCTTTGGGTTCTTGGTAGAGGGTTGTTAGGCATATATATTAGGGGATTCGTTAAAAGAATCCCAGTCCGCCTCATAATAGAAGCTACGCAAAGTCAAAGAGAAAGCAAGGAGATAAAAAAAATTTAAGCAAAATTATGAGAGCATACTAAAGTTCACCAAGACAGGAAACTCGATTTACATCCTTAGCCTAAACTATTTCTCTGATCAAGGGTGTAAGTTGCGTTCCCTGCCTTGTTGAACTTCAGTATGCCTTCATAAGTTGCCTTCCTCCTTTTCTGCCTACTGTTTTCTCACCTCCATGTTTACATTCATTCTATCTTCTACCTCTCCCAATTCGCTCAAGCATCCTTTGATCCCGCAACTTTTTGGATCTAAATCCATTTCTTTCCACCACTTTTCGCGGCTTTACTAGAAGGTTTGTAGAGCTTTGGAGGCTCGCGTCTTCACACCGCACCTTCCTTGTGTGTGCAGTTTTTGGCACTGTTGCTTATGTGATGTTTTATTCCCACAGGTTTCATTTGCTTTGTGGTTCAGATTTGTGTGCTGCTTGTTCGAGGATGATGGAGCTTTCTCCTTGTTCGTTTCTGGGGCTTTCGGTGATTGGATTTCAAGCATCTTCAAGAGGTGCGGGTTTGTGCGGGGTAGATGGTAAGCCCATCTCTAATTAATTAATATTTGCAATTTCTTTAATTTGAATGTTCATCTTCTCCGTCCAGATATGCTTGACTGCGTAGCTTCTTCTGGTTTGCCGTCAGAGCCCACCCCCGGCTACCACAACTCACTCATGACCTACCTCCACCATCCATCTATTTCTCATTCCCTCTCTCCGCCAACTCCTCGCAATGTGCCTAGAGACTCCAGATCTGTAAACCATATCCACGTCCAAAAAGTTTTTCATCCACGTCATAAAAAAGTTGGGACTCGCATTTGCAACATCATGTTTGACATTGAAGTAAAACGTAACTTTGTGAAATATTGTAATTTTGAGGGAGGCCTTGACCATTTCTATCGTGGCGCAGGTTCTTGCTGGCCTTTTGCCCCAGTGGCAGCCGTTGAAAGCGTTTACATAATTTATTGGGGAAAACCGTTGGTTTCGCTTTCTGCCCTACAACTGGTGGACTGATAAGATAGACGGTGGTAATGGCTCCCACGGGGTAACCCAAGATCGGCTTTTTCATGCATCATAGACGAAGAAGGGATCACTCGTGATGAAACTGTTGAGAGTACAACCTCTCACAGCAACAATGTACCAGATTAGATGTTTACTTAGCTATTAAGCTTAGCATGGTTAGTGATTAGTTGTACATTATGCTTAGCTGGCACATATGGTTGGTATAGGATATTTATGTATAAATACCTTGTGTAATGATTTGTTAATGTTAATGAAATCACAATCTTATTTTACTCTCTCTCTCTCTCTCTCTAACTGAAATCTCTCTCTAGATTCTCAGTTTCTACATGGTATCATCACCATTGTCTAATCGACTTCGATCCTCCACTTCCCTCTCTTTCTTGAAACTTTCTTGTGTTTCTTAAATTTTCCTGTCTCCCAAACAGGTCGATGCGTATTGGATTTCTTTCTTTTCGTCCTCAATTCACCAAATTAGGTTATGGTGATTGCTGCGAACTCTTCCAATTCTCATTCTTCACGTAATTCCCCAGTGAATCTCCCTCCCATCGAGATCTCTAATCCTTCGATCATGTCGATTGGATCGATTTCCATGGCAAATGTTGCAGGAATGATTCCAACAAAGCTCAATCGTCAGAACTACATCACTTGGCACAGTCTCTTCATTCCTGCACTGAAGCATTTCAAGCTTCTTGGCCTTGTCAATGGTGAGGATCTCTACCCTCCTGAATTTGTTCTTAATTCTTCTGGATCTCGTGTTCTCAATCCTTTCTATGAGACCTAGTGCAAGCGTGATCAAATTATGATCAACTCAACGCTATTCGAAGATCTTCTTCCTTTGACTATTGCAATGGAAGACTCGTTCCCTTTGGCAGTCTTTTGAGCAGCAGTTCTCTGGTGCTTCACGCACACATGTTCACAGCCTTCGATCGAAGATCCAAATGATTCATAAAGGTGACTCTTCCATGACTGATTATCTTAATTTGATCAAAGATATCTTTGATAAACTTGTTGCTGCTGGTGAACCAATTTCTGAATCTGATCTCGTTGCATACATTTTATTTGGTCTTCCTGATGACTATGAATTATTTGTTGACTCTATTGAGACTTGCAATCAGCCTGTGACGACTAATGAATTTCATGGCCTTTTACTGAGCAAAGAGATCTCGCTTCAAAAACGCAAAACCAGAGCTTCGTTCTCCTCCGCTGCACCATTTCATGCTTATATGGCACAATCTAACACCTCTGGTGCTCAGTCGAATAGAGGTAATTCTTGTGGTCGTTTCCAAAATCGACATCAGTACAATTAGAATTGTAATTTTGGGGGAAACAAACCTAGCAACTGGAATCACAACAACTCTAGTGGTATTCTTGGTGTTGGCCCTTCTCGTTAGACATTTAGTTAATCTAACTCCTTTGGGCGCTCTGTTCAATGTCAACTATGTCTTCAATATGGTCACTAGGCTCCTACATGCAATCGTCTCTCTCAATTTTCCTCGAACTCGAATGCACAAGCTCCTATTGCAATGTTTGCTATAAATGCCTCTACCCCTCCTAGCTATTGACTTACTGATGGTGATGCATCTCATCATGTCACACCTACCCTTCTGCACTCAATTCTGCAATTCCATACTCTGGCAATGATCAACTATTTGTTGGTGATGGAAAAGGTATGTACATTTCTCATACTGGGTCTGCTTTCATTCGCACAAATAATGCTACCTTTAGATTGAATGATGTGCTTTTACTTCCTTAGGCATCTCATAATTTGCTCTATGTTTACAAGTTTGTATATGACAGTTGGTATGCTCTGAAATTTGATCATTTTGGATTCTATGTCAAGGACCTAAGAATTGGAAATATGCTTTTCCAGGGCCCTAGTGAATGAGGCTTGTACCCCTTCTACTAGAATGCTTCAAATGGTGTCTCTGGGATTGTAATCTCACCAACTACTCTGATGATTGCTAAGGTTGATTTCCAGATTTGGCATCAACGCCTTGGACATCCTTCTAGTGGCATTTTAAGTTTTGTGGTGAATAAAAATCATCTGCCAGTAATTGGTTTTGTTAATAAATTGTCTATGTGCACAGCTAGTCAATTAGGCAAAGCTTCTAGACTGCCATTTACAGCTTTACCTTGTACATCCACTAGGCCACTTCAATTACTTCACACCGATGTATGGGGTCCCTCTCCCACATCCTCATGTACTGGATACAAGTTTTACATAATAATAGTGAATGACTTTACTAAATATAATTGGCTTTATCCTCTATACTTTAAGTCTGATGTCTTCTCCACTCTCAAGACTTTATCTTAAAGGTTCAAACTTTACTTGAGCTCAAAGTTCAATGTATAAGATTTGATTGATGGGGTGAATTTCTAAACAAATCATTACAAAACTTTCTTAATGATCAAGTTATCACCCATCAGTTGAGTTGTCCTCACACTCCTGAGCAAAATAGGTGTGCAGAGAGGAAGCATCGTCATGTTGTTGAAATGGGTTGAACCCTATTATCTCACAGTGGTTTACCTGCAAAGTTTTGGGTTGAAGCTTTCCAAACTGATATATATCTTATTAATCGATTACCTCTTCAGTCTTCTATGATCAGTCATTGGGAACTTCTATTTCATGCCTCTGCCAAGTATCATACCTTAAATACTTTTCGCTGTGCTTGCTATCCCTGGCTAAAACCGTATGCAAGTGCCAAGTTGGATGCCAAGAGTAAACAGTGTGTATTTTTGGGTTATAGCTTGAATCACAGTGGTTATAGATGCTTCGATCATGTCACTAATAGGCTCTATATTTCGAGACATGTGTAATATTTAATGAATCTGTGTTTCCTTATCAACATCTCACTTTTCATGTCTCAATTCAGAATACATGTTCACATCATCACACCATTGCTTCTATGTCTCTTCCACTGCCTGTGTTGTATCCTGCAAAGCCTCCTACACCTGCAACTCCCCTAGAGGCATTGAGTTCCTCATCAACAACTTCTTCTAACATAGAGTCATCTCATCCTATCTTATCTACCTCAGTTGCTTCTCAACCATCTTTTTCACAGTCTCTAGCTCCTATCAATACTCATCCAATAGTTACAAGAGCAAAGACAGACATTCATAAAACCAAGGTGTTTACGGCAACCAAACACCACCTTCCTCCATGGTTGATCCTCTCACAAAGTTACCATCTACTTAATCTACATTTCTCCAAGCATCCAAGCATGCTCCCTAAATGGAAGCTATGCAATTTGAATTTTAAGCCTTGCAATCAATTGGAACTTGGGATTTGGTTCCACACAACTTCAATTACAACCTTGTAGGTTGCAAATGGGTTTTCAAAGTTAAACACAAACCAGATGGTACCATTGAAAGGTACAAGGCAAGACTTGTTGCCAAAGGTTTTCATCAACATAAAGGTTTGGATTTCTTAGAAACCTTTAGTCCTATTGCAAAACCTACTACTATCAGGATTCTATTATCTGTTATAGTCATCTATAATTGGTTTGTACATCAATTGGATGTAAGTAATGCTTTTCTGCATGGTCATTTGAAGGAAGATGTGTACATGATCCAGCCTTCTGGTTTTGTGGATCCTTCTAAACCTCATCATGTTTGCAAGCTTAAGAAATCACTCTATGGTCTTAAACAAGCTCCTTGAGCTTGCTATGACGCCTTCTACAATGCTATTGTCTCTTTGGGTTTTAGTTCCTCCTACTACGATACAAATCTCTTTATTAGAAAAGATACTTCCATTACTTTCATCTTGGTTTATGTTGATGATATAATCATCACTGGAAGTTTAACCACTGAGTGTCAATCCATCATTTCCAAACTTCAGGCTATGTTTCCTATTAAGGATCTGGGAAATATTCATTATTTCTTTGGCATTGAAGTTCAAAGGTCATACAAGGGTTGTTTATGCACCAATCTAAGTATGCTTTAGATTTACTCAAGAAAACAGACATCATTGGAGTTAAACCTTGTGCAACACCTGTGTCTGCCTCAAAACTTGATCACTCAGGCACTCTCTTATCTGATCCTACTTCTTATCGGTCCACAGTTGGTGCTCTACAGTATCTCACATGGACAAGGCCTGATTTAGCCTTTGCTGTCAATCAATTTTGTCAACATATGCATTTTCCAAGAACTATTCATCTTCAGGCAGTCAAGCGTATTTTGATATATCTCAAGGGCACCATTGATTCTGGTCTTTGGTTCACTATAGGCAGTCAATGCCTCACTGCTTGGTCTGATGCAGACTGGGCAGGTTATCCTATGGACAGAAGATCCACCAATGGTTATTGTGTTTTCCTAGGCCCTTATCTCATCTCTTGGAGTGCTAAGAAACAAGCAACAGTAGCTAGATCGTCAACCAAAGCAGAATATAGGTCTCTTGCTTAAACTGTTGCTGAAATAACCTGGGTGTGCAAAATTTTGTAGGATATCTCCTTTCCTTTGTTAAAGACTCCTGCCATATATTGTGACAACAAAAAGTGCAATTGCGCTTGCATTCAATCCTGTTTTCCATGCTAGGACAAAACATGTTGAAATTGACAAAACATGTTGAAATTGATTATCACTACATCCAGGAGAAAGTTTTACTTGGTCATATTGGTGTGTATCATGTTGCTTCAGCTCTTCAAATTGCTAATATTTTTACCAAGTCTTTAGCTGCTGATCAATTTGCAGATCTTATTCACAAGCTCTCAGTTCGGTCTCCGACCTTCAGCTTGAGGGGGTGTGTTGAGAGTACAACCTCTCACAGCAACAATGTACCAGATTAGGTGTTTACTTAGCTATTAAACTTAGCATGGTTAGTGATTAGTTGTACATTATGCTTAGCTGGCACATATGGTTGGGATAGGATATTTATGTATAAATACCTTGTGTAATGATTTGTTGATGTTAATGAAATCACAATCTTGTTTTACTCTCTCTCCCCCCCTCTATAACTGAAATCTCTCTCTAAATTCTCAGTTTCTACAGAAACTACAGGTACACCCACTACAAGAAAATTTGTGATAGAAAACAATCAACAGTTGTTCTAAAAGTCTAGAAATGGCTGCGAAGGGTATACACCACGCCTTTCCGTCGTTGCCCCCATCGTTGCATTTGGTATTAATTATCCGCAACGCAATGCATAATCGTTGCAAAAATGATGCTCAACAACTTGAGCATACGTTACCCACTTCAA